ACGAGGGGTAGAGACGTGACAACTGTGTGTGTGTGTGGAGGAGACGAGGGGTAGAGACGTGACAACTGTGTGTGTGTGGAGGAGACGAGGGAAAGAGACGTGACAACTGTGTGTGTGTGGAGGAGACGAGGGGTAGAGACGTGACAACTGTGTGTGTGGAGGAGACGAGGGAAAGAGACGTGACAACTGTGTGTGTGTGGAGGAGACGAGGGAAAGAGACGTGACAACTGTGTGTGTGTGGAGGAGACGAGGGAAAGAGACGTGACAACTGTGTGTGTGGAGGAGACGAGGGGCAGAGACGTGACAACTGTGTGTGTGGAGGAGACGAGGGAAAGAGACGTGACAAATGTGTGTGTAGAGGAGACGAGGGAAAGACGTGACAACTGTGTGTGTGGAGGAGACGAGGGGTAGAGACGTGACAACTGTGTATGTGGAGACGAGGGAAAGAGACGTGACAACTGTGTGTGTGGAGGAGACGAGGGGTAGAGACGTGACAACTGTGTGTGTGAAGGAGACGAGGAAAAGAGACGTGACAACTGTGTGTGTGGAGGAGACGAGGGGCAGAGACGTGACAACTGTGTGTGTGAAGGAGACGAGGGAAAGAGACGTGACAACTGTGTGTGTGGAGGAGACGAGGGGCAGAGACGTGACAACTGTGTGTGTGGAGGAGACGAGGGGTAGAGACGTGACAACTGTGTGTGTGGAGGAGACGAGGGAAAGAGACGTGACAACTGTGTGTGTGGAGGAGACGAAGGACAGACGTGACAACTGTGTGTGTGGAGGAGACGAGGGAAAGAGACGTGACAACTGTGTGTGTGGAGGAGACGAGGGGTAGAGACGTGACAACTGTGTATGTGGAGACGAGGGAAAGAGACGTGACAACTGTGTGTGTGGAGGAGACGAGGGAAAGAGACGTGACAAGTGTGTGTGTGGAGGAGACGAGGGGTAGAGACGTGACAACTGTGTGCGTGGAGGAGATGAGGGGCAGAGACGTGACAACTGTGTGTGTGGAGGAGACGAGGGGCAGAGACGTGACAACTGTGTGTGTGGAGGAGACGAGGGGTAGAGACGTGACAACTGTGTGTGTGGAGGAGACGAGGGAAAGAGACGTGACAACTGTGTGTGTGGAGGAGACGAGGGAAAGAGACGTGACAACTGTGTGTGTGGAGGAGACGGGGGAAAGAGACGTGACAACTGTGTGTGTGTGGAGGAGACGAGGGAAAGAGACGTGACAACTGTGTGTGTGGAGGAGACAAGGGAAAGAGACATGCCAACTGTGTGTGGAGGAGACGAGGGAAAGAGACGTGACAACTGTGTGTGTGGAGGAGACGAGGGGTAGACACATGACAACTGTGTGTGTGGAGGAGACGAGGGAAAGAGACGTGACATCTGTGTGTGTGGCGGAGACGAGGGAAAGAGACGTGACAACTGTGTGTGTGGAGGAGACGAGGGAAAGAGACGTGACAACTGTGTGTGTGGAGGAGACGAGGGAAAGAGACGTGACAACTGTGTGTGGAGGAGACGAGGGAAAGAGGCGTGACAACTGTGTGTGTGGAGGAGACGAGGGGTAGAGACATGACAACTGTGTGTGTGGAGGAGACGAGGGAAAGAGACGTGACAACTGTGTGTGGAGGAGACGAGGGGTAGAGACGTGACAACTGTGTGTGTGGAGGAGACTAGGGAAAGAGACGTGACAACTGTGTGTGGAGGAGACGAGGGGTAGAGACGTGACAACTGTGTGTGTGGAGGAGACGAGGGAAAGTGACGTGACAACTGTGTGTGGAGGAGACGAGGGGCAGAGACGTGACAACTATGTGTGTGGAGACGAGGGGCAGAGACGTGACAACTGTGTGTGGAGGAGACGAGGGGTAGAGACATGACAGCTGTGTGTGTGGAGGAGACGAGGGGTAGAGACATGACAACTGTGTTTGTGGAGGAGACGAGGGGCAGAGACATGACAATTGTGTGTGGAGGAGACGAGGGAAAGTGACGTGACAACTGTGTGTGGAGGAGACGAGGGGCAGAGACGTGACAACTGTGTGTGGAGGAGACGAGGGGCAGAGACGTGACAACTGTGTGTGTGGAGATGAGGGGCAGAGACGTGACAACTGTGTGTGTGGAGGAGACGAGGGGCAGAGACGTGACAACTGTGTGTGTGGAGATGAGGGGCAGAGACGTGACAACTGTGTGTGGAGGAGACGAGGGGTAGAGACATGACAGCTGTGTGTGTGGAGGAGACGAGGGGTAGAGACATGACAACTGTGTTTGTGGAGGAGACGAGGGGTAGAGACATGACAACTGTGTGTGGAGGAGACGAGTGGGTAGAGACGTGACAACTGTGTGTGTGTGTAGAGGAGACGAGGGGCAGAGACGTGACAACTGTGTGGAGGAGACGAGGGGCAGAGACGTGACAACTGTGTGTGGAGGAGACGAGGGACAGGTGACAACTGTGTGTGGAGACGAGGGACAGACGTGACAACTGTGTGTGTGGAGACGAGGGACAGACGTGACAACAGTGTGTGTGTGGAGGAGACGAGGGACAGAGACGTGACAACTGTGTGTGTGTGTGGAGGAGACGAGGGACAGAGACGTGACAACTGTGTGTGTGGAGGAGACGAGGGACAGACGTGACAACTGTGTGGAGGAGACGAGGGGTAGAGACGTGACAACTGTGTGGAGGAGACGAGGGGCAGAGACGTGACAACTGTGTGTGTAGAGGAGACGAGGGGCAGAGACGTGACAACTGTGTGTGTAGAGGAGACGAGGGACAGAGACGTGACAACTGTGTGTGTGGAGGAGACGAGGGACAGACGTGACAACTGTGTGGAGGAGACGAGGGGTAGAGACGTGACAACTGTGTGGAGGAGACGAGGGGCAGAGACGTGACAACTGTGTGGAGGAGACGAGGGGTAGAGACGTGACAACTGTGTGTGTGGAGACGAGGGACAGACGTGACAAGTGTGTGGAGACGAGGGACAGACGTGACAAGTGTGTGGAGACGAGGGACAGACGTGACAAGTGTGTGGAGACGAGGGACAGACGTGACAAGTGTGAGGAGACGAGGGACAGACGTGACAAGTGTGTGGAGACGAGGGACAGACAACCCTGGCAGTCATCGTCTATAATATTAACGTCACAAACTGACACTTGAGCTGTGAATCTTTTATGAAAATAATTAAAGTTATGATACCAATATATCAGTTTAAGTTATGTATCCTGTATCCCAGTGTATCTATACTGTATCCCAATGTATCCTGTATCCCAGTGTATCTATACTGTATCCCAATGTATCCTGTATACCAGTGTATCTATACTGTATCCCAATGTATCCTGTATCCCAGTGTATCTATACTGTATCCCACTATCTATACTGTATCCCACTATCTATACTGTATCCCACTGTATACTGTATCCCACTGTACCTATAATGTATCCCACTGTATCTATATTGTATCCCACTGTATCTATACTGTATCCCAATGTATCTACACTGTATCCCAATGTATCTATACTGTATCCCAATGTATCTATACTGTATCCCACAGAGAGAGAGAGAGAGAGAGAGAGACTGCTAGCTTTAATTTAGTATTGGCTTCCTGCCTCGTTTACTGTTTATCCTTATTCCCCAGTTATTATCTGTGCCGTCTATCCACATTCCCTTCGTTTTGACGCCCTTCTGTCCTCTCACCCTCCTCCTCTTTTCCTCCTCCTCTTCCTCAACTCCTCCACCTCCATATCTTACTTCTCCTCTGTTTACTCATTCTTCTTCGCTTTAATCTTCTCCTCTTCATCCATTTTTTTTCCTGTTTGCATATTTCTTTATTCTTTTCTTCATTTTCTTCTCATTTTCCACTATTCCTCTTTCAATTCTCCTCCTCCTCCTCCTCCTCCTCTCTCCCTCAATGTTCCCCTTCTCCCCCCTCTCCTCCAGGCAATGCCAAGTGTTGAGTGCCTCTCTATGTGGCATCTTGCAGTTTATATTCTCGTTTATCTAATATTTTTTCCTTCCCCCGTGTGCAATATCCCCCCCCACCATGTGCAACTTTTTACTCCCCGTTGTGCAACTTCTTATCCCCCTGTGCAACATTCTTACTCCCCGTGTGCAACATTCTTACTCCCCGTGTGCAACATTCTTACTCCCCGTGTGCAACATTCTTACTCCCCGTGTGCAACATTCTTACTCCCCGTGTGCAACATCTTACTCCCCTGTGCAACATTCTTTTCTCCGTGTGCAACATTCTTACTCCCCGTGTGCAACTTCTTACTCCCCGTGTGCAACTTCTTACTCCCCGTGTGCAACATTCTTACTCCCCGTGTGCAACATTCTTACTCCCCGTGTGCAACATTCTTACTCCCCGTGTGCAACATTCTTACTCCCCGTGTGCAACTTCTTATCCCGTGTGCAACATCTTTACTCCCGTGTGCAACATTCTTACTCCCGTGTGCAACATTCTTACTCCCCGTGTGCAACATTCTTTTCTCCCCGTGTGCAAATTCTTACTCCCCGTGTGCAACATTTTTTACTCCCCGTGTGCAACATTCTTACTCCCCGTGTGCAACATTCTTACTCCCCGTGTGCAACATTCTTACTCCCCGTGTGCAACATTCTTACTCCCCGTGTGCAACATTCTTACTCCCCGTGTGCAACATTCTTACTCCCCGTGTGCAACATTCTTACTCCCCGTGTGCAACATTCTTACTCCCCGTGTGCAATATTTTCACTCCCGGTAAGGAATATTATGACCAACATGTACCATGTTACTTTGAGAGTCACATACAGACTATGTACAACCTTGCAGTTATTAATGCTGCTAACTTGTGTCTGGTGTTGCTGCTGTTTCTACTGTTGTTGCTGTTCGAATCCCGTTCTTATTCCGCACTCACCTGCTTCTGGTGGTATTCCTGCTGTGCCACACTCACCTGCTTCTGGTGGTATTTCTGCTGTTGCTGCTGTTTCTACTGTTGTTGCTGTTCGAATCCCGTTCTTATTCCACACTCACCTGTTTCTGGTGGTATTTCTGCTGTTGCTGTTGTTCCACACTCACCTGAAACAGAATACGGAATCAGAAGAACCCGAAGAAAACATTCTGAAATGTTAATAACCCTGGCAGTGTGTGGCAGTGAACCCTGGCAGTGTGTGGCAGTGAACCCTGGCAGTGTGTGGTACTGAACCTTGGCAGTGTGTGGCAGTGAACCCTGGCAGTGTGTGGTAGTGAACCCTGGCAGTGTGTGGCAGTGAACCCTGGCAGTGTGTGGCAGTGAACCCTGGCAGTGTGTGGCAGTGAACCCTGGCAGTGTGTGGTAGTAAACCTTGGCAGTGTGTGGCAGTGAACCCTGGCAATGTGTGGCAGTGAACCCTGGCAGTGTGTGGTAGTGAACCCTGGCAGTGTGTGGTAGTGAACCCTGGCAGTGTGTGTGGCAGTGAACCCTGGCAGTGTGTGGCAGTGAACCCTGGCAGTGTGTGGCAGTCAACCCTGGCAGTGTGTGGTACTGAACTCTGGCAGTGTGTGGCAGTGAACCCTGGCAGTGTGCGGTAGTGAACCCTGGCAGTGTGTGGTAGTGAACCCTGGCAGTGTGTGGCAGTGAACCCTGGCAGTGTGTGGCAGTGAACCATGGCAGTGTGGGGCAGTGAACCCTGGCAGTGTGGGGCAGTGAACCCTGGCAGTGTGGGGCAGTGAACCCTGCCAGTGTGTGGCAGTGAACCCTGCCAGTGTGTGGTAGTGAACCGTGGCAGTGAGCACTGGCATTGCATGTTAGTGAACCCTGGCACAGTGTGGCAGTGAACCCTGGCCGTGTGTGGTAGTGCGTGGCAGTGAACCCTGGCAGTGCATGGTAATGAACCCTGGCAGTGTGTGGTAGTGAACCCTGGCAGTGTGTGGTAGTGAACCCTGGCAGTGTGTGGTAGTGAACCGTGGCAGTGTGTGGTAATGAACCGTGGCAGTGAGCCCTGGCATTGCATGGTAGTGAACCCAGGCACAGTGTGGCAGTGAACCCTGGCAGTGCATGGTAGTGAACCCTGGCAGTGTGTGGTAGTAAACCCTGGCAGTGCGTGGTAGTGAACCCTGGCAGTGTGTGGTAGTGAACCCTGGCAGGGTGTGGTAGTGAACACTGGCAGTGTGTAGTAGTGAACCCTGGCAGTGTGTAGTAGTGAACCCTGGCAGTGTGTAGTGAACCCTAGCAGTGTGTAGTAGTGAACCCAGGCAGTGTGGGGTAGTGAACCGTGGCAATGAAACCTGGCAGTGTGTGGTAGTGAACCCAGGCAGTGTGTGGTAGTGAACCGTGGCAATGAACCCTGGCAGTGTGTGGCAGTGAACCCTAGCAGTGTGGGGTAGTGAACCGTGGCAGTGTGTGGTAGTGAACCGTGGCAGTGTGGGGGCAGTGAACCCTAGCAGTGTGGGGTAGTGAACCGTGGCAGTGTGTGGCAGTGAACCGTGGCAGTGTGTGGCAGTTAACCCTGGCAGTGTGTGGCAGTGAACCCTAGCAGTGTGGGGTAGTGAACCGTGGCAGTGTGTGGTAGTGAACCCTAGCAGTGTGGGGTAGTGAACCGTGGCAGTGTGTGGCAGTGAACCCTAGCAGTGTGGGGTAGTGAACCCTAGCAGTGTGGGGTAGTGAACCGTGGCAGTGTGTGGCAGTGAACCCTAGCAGTGTGTGGTAGTGAACCGTGGCAGTGTGTGGCAGTGAACCCTAGCAGTGTGGGGTAGTGAACCGTGGCAGTGTGTGGTAGTGAACCCTAGCAGTGTGGGGTAGTGAACCGTGGCAGTGTGTGGCAGTGAACCCTAGCAGTGTGGGGTAGTGAACCCTAGCAGTGTGGGGTAGTGAACCGTGGCAGTGTGTGGCAGTGAACCCTAGCAGTGTGTGGCAGTGAACCCTAGCAGTGTGGGGTAGTGAACCGTGGTAGTGTGTGGCAGTGAACCCTAGCAGTGTGGGGTAGTGAACCGTTTCAGTGTGTGGCAGTGAACCGTGGCAGTGTGTGGCAGTGAACCCTAGCAGTATGTGTGGCAGTGAACCCTAGCAGTATGTGTGGCAGTGAACCCTGGCAGTGTGTGGCAGTGAACCCTAGCAGTGTGGGGTAGTGAACCGTGGCAGTGTGTGGTAGTGAACCGTGGCAGTGTGGGGGCAGTGAACCCTAGCAGTGTGGGGTAGTGAACCGTGGCAGTGTGTGGCAGTGAACCGTGGCAGTGTGTGGCAGTGAACCCTAGCAGTGTGGGGTAGTGAACCGTGGCAGTGTGTGGTAGTGAACCCTAGCAGTGTGGGGTAGTGAACCGTGGCAGTGTGGGGTAGTGAACCCTAGCAGTGTGGGGTAGTGAACCGTGGCAGTGTGTGGTAGTGAACCCTAGCAGTGTGGGGTAGTGAACCGTGGCAGTGTGTGGCAGTGAACCTGCTGACCAATTCACTGATGCTCAGGGAGGAGGAAGAGAAAAAGAGAAGAAGGAAGAAGAGAAAAAAGAAGATGAAGAGAAGGAAGAGGGAGAGGATTATAACCTAACATATAACGAGAGAGAGGGGGAAAAGGAGAGGGGGAAATAGAGGAGAAAGAAAGAGGAAAGAGAATGAGAAAGAGGAACGATAAGGAAAAGATGAAAGAAAAAAAGATGGTAAAACAGGGAAGAGAGGAAGAGGAGAGGAAATAGAGGATGGTGGCTGGGAATAGAGGAAGGGGTGATTGTGTAAGGGGCAGTGGAAGGGGGTGGTGGAAAAGGGATGGTGGTATTGATTAATTCAGGACAGTAAGAAGGAAGGTAATGTCACGCAACAACACTCTATTAGTCACGTTACAACCACCACCACCGTTACAACAACTACCAGCACCACCACTGTTACAACTACCACCACCACCACTATTACAACCAGCGCCACCACTGTTACAACTACCAGCGCCAACACTGTTACAACTACCAGCGCCACCACTGTTACAACTACCAGCACCACCACTGTTACAAATACCATCACTTTTACAACACCCAGCACCACCACTGTTACAACTACCACCACCACTGTTACAACTACCATCAGTGTTACAACAACCAGCACCACCACTGTTACAACTACCACCACCACTGCTACAACAACCAGCACCACCACTGTTACAACTACCACCACCACTGTTACAGCTACCACCACCACCACCGTTACAACTACCACCACCACCACTGTTACAACTACCATCACTTTTACAACAACAAGCACCACCACTGTTACAACTACCACTACCACTGTTACAACTACCATCACTGTTACAACAACCAGCACCACCACTGTTACAACTACCACCACCACTGTTACAACCCCCATCACTGTTACAACAACCAGCACCACCAATGTTACAACTACCACCACCACTGTTACAACTACCATCACTGTTACAACAACCAGCATCACCACTGTTACAACTACCATCACTGTTACAACTACCACCACCACTGTTACAACTACCATCACTGTTACAACAACCAGCATCACCACTGTTACAACTACCATCACTGTTACAACAACTACCACCACCACTGTTACAACTACCATCACTGTTACAACTACCAGCACCACCACTGTTACAACTACCAGCACCACCACCACTGTTACAACTACCACCACCACCACTGTTACAACTACCATCCATTTTACAACAACCAGCACCACCACTGTTACAACTACCACCACCACTGTTACAACTACCATCACTGTTACAACAACCAGCACCACCACTGTTACAACTACCACCACCACTGTTACAACTACCATCACTGTTACAACAACCAGCACCACCAATGTTACAACTACCATCACTGCTACAACAACCAGCATCACCACTGTTACAACAACTACCACCACCACTGTTACAACTACCATCACTGCTACAACAACCAGCATCACCACTGTTACAACTACCATCACTGTTACAACTACCACCACCACTGTTACAACTACCAGCACCACCACTGTTACAACTACCAGCACCACCACCACTGTTACAACTACCACCACCACTGTTACAACTACCATCACTGTTACAACAAGCACCACCACTGTTACAACAACCAGCACCACCACTGTTACAACTACCACCACCACTGTTACAACTACCATCACTGTTACAACAACCAGCACCACCACTGTTACAACTACCACGACCACTGTTACAACTACCACCACCACCACTGTTACAATTACCACTATTACAACTACCACCACCACTGTTACAACCACCACCACCACTGTTACAACTACCGTCACTTTTACAACAACCAGCACTACCACTGTTACAACTACCACCACCACTGTTACAACTACCATCACTGTTACAACAACCAGCACCACCACTGTTGCAACTACCATCACTGTTACAACAACCAGCATCACCACTGTTACAACTACCATCACTGTTACAACAACTACCACCACCACTGTTACAACTACCATCACTGTTACAACAACCAGCATCACCACTGTTACAACTACCATCACTGTTACAACAACTACCACCACCACTGTTACAACTACCAGCACCACCACTGTTACAACTACCAGCACCACCACCACTGTTACAACTACCACCACCACTGTTACAACTACCATCACTGTTACAACAAGCACCACCACTGTTACAACAACCAGCACCACCACTGTTACAACTACCACCACCACTGTTACAACTACCACCACCACTGTTACAACTACCATCACTGTTACAACAACCAGCACCACCACTGTTACAACTACCACGACCACTGTTACAACTACCACCACCACCACTGTTACAATTACCACTATTACAACTACCACCACCACTCTTACAACCACCACCACCACTGTTACAACTACCGTCACTTTTACAACAACCAGCACTACCACTGTTACAACCACCACCACTGTTACAACTACCATCACTGTTACAACAACCAGCACCACCACTGTTGCAACTACCACGACCACCACTGTTACAACTACCACGACCACTGTTACAATTACCACCATTACAACTACCACCACCACTGTTACAACCACCACCACCACTGTTACAACTACCATCACTGTTACAACAACCAGC